TGCAAAAGAAACTGAACAGATGAGTCGGTAAAGAAACAGTGAGGCACAGATACGCAAGTCAAATCAGCAAGGAGGGAAAACTGACAGTGAGGAAAAGAAAGGAGGGAACGAAAGATGACCAGACAGCGAGGAAAAAAACAAACAAGAAGAGTGGCAATGGCTATTTGAGAAAATATTTGAGAAATTTGAGAAAGAGACCAGAGGATGCAGCAGGGCCTCTGGGGGAAAAAAGAACAACAAAAAAAATAAACTGGACAAGCAAAGCTTGAGGAGGACTGGATTAAAAATATAAGTCAGGAAGAAAAGCAGGGGAAAATGAAGAAAGACTGCATATGATTTTAATTCAAAGAAGTTATTTAATCTGTGATGTATATGTGCAAGTAAATATAGGTGTTACTTAGAAAACTCCTTACTACTCTGAAAATCTTGTTTTTAGAGAATTTAAAAAAACTCATCATCTTCAATTTTATTAAGGCATTCTCTTTCGAGAAACACCAGGCAATCACACCACAATAAACACTACAAAACCACTAACTCTCCCCAAACCAAGAAAAAACTCATACATACAATAAACTAACTAACTGTTTAAGTACAAGTACTCAAGTGTATCATGAATACTATTATTTTACTAACCCATAAAATTCACTAAAAACAAGAATAATGTACTAAAAGTACTTCATTCCATTACTTTACCTGCCTCTGATATAGTTCATTTTTCTCTTGGTAATATTAAAAATAAGTCTTCCAGGGATAATAATTCTCCTTGGCCAGTAATTCAGAAAAACTGTACTGTTACCTTAGCACAGAGCACTTAACAAAATCTGATTTAAATTTCTGAGAAAAAGATTCCTACAAACCTTTCCAAGATCTTTGCTTGCAAAATCCAAGACTTCCATCTGTAAATTTTTCATCATTTTATTGGCTTCTGAAAGAAGTAATGGCCGAGTCATTTGCATGACTTCTGCTGGATCTTGTCCCATCCAAGAGCCTAATTATGGACAGGCGCGTGCATAATTGCTGAAATGAGTAAGTTGGAGTTAAAGAGTCTATTGCTCTGACTGAAATTACTCACACAAATGTAAAGGCAGGTGCAGAACACTTTTCTGCAGGAATTTTGCAAGGAAAATTTCAGTGTATTCCCACCAACAAGTCAAGGTGTTTTTCCATTCCAGTTAAAGCAGGGATTATTCTCAGAGGCAGACAAAGCCCCAACTGAAACACGCCCCACTGAAAAGCTGTTACTCCATTTGTGAATGCAAACAGCTTTAACGAATTAATTTTACACTTCTTGTGCTTCCTGAGCTCATCTTCCAGTTTCAGATAGACCTGATGATTCTATTCTCTACATTTAAAGCTTGTTTAAAGCTTGATGTGTTGGAGAGAGATTTTGCTCTCAGGAGACACAGATCTTCCCAAGCACATACTGAAGCACCAGGAATAAAGACTTTCAACCCAAGGCTTATTAAAAGGGCTAAGCTCGCTGTAAAGAATGGTCTTTGGCCAACAGGACTTCCAGCCTCAATAATGCTGCATGAGTCACAAAACTACTGTGTGCGCAACAGTGAGTTAATTCACCCCATATTAAAGGCCCTTCCATAAAAGGAGATTTGATGTTTTTCTGGCAATTTTAATCAAATAGGATACATCTAGCCACCAATTAGTAGACAACTATCTCTTTAGGTCTTGCCCTTTCAGACACTTGAGATTTGTATGATGTGCAGATGTAACAGTTATTAAAAACATTAAAAGTGCATATATAATGTGCTTGTAACAAAGTTTTCCATGAAACAGAATCCCTCCCACCACCCCATTTCTGGCTGTAACGTAACACACACAACTGAGCTAGACTTTTTAGGTGCTAGGGTGAATCATTTGTAGCTGACTGTTAGAAAGTACCTTTCCGAGGCTCAGATTTTAGCCATTATACAGGAGGTCAAATGGTAGACCAAGAAGTGATTTCAAGCCACCTCTCTTATCAAACGTGGCATCGTTAAACAAGTTTTCAGTACATCCTCAGAGTTTGGAAAGGTATAAATAAAAAATGCCTTACCTTCCAGGTGACACTTAACAGATTTCAAATAGAATTGGCACTTAGTAAAATGACTACACAAATCCCAAACTGAAGTTGCAAAGACTGAAAACTGTTACACACACAAAAGATATCTTAAACAAAACATGCGAGCAAACACATTTTCAGGAACAGGTGACTGAGAAATACTTGGCATTCCTAAGAGATTATAAGGAAAAAATATGATGAAAATTTAAGTAAAAATTTTTTCCATAATATAAGAATGTAAGAGTGGATGTTTTAGGCTGCACCAAAGGTCCATCTAGAAGAATGTCTGGTCTCCAAAGAGGCCATATGGATACCTAGGAACGACTGTTAAGGACAGGCCAAGCACATGTTTCCCAAGTACTCCAGCCACTGGTGGCTCAAGGACTTCCTGAGACAGATGTGGTTTCCATACAGTAATGTAAATCTCAGTGAATTTGTCTCCATGAACTTGCCCAGCTTCCTCCTGAGCCTCTGCAACCGCTCAGCACACACAGCCATGACGTGCCATGATACGCGGCCCCAGAGCCAACTCAGAGCTCTGAGGACCTCTTCCCACCTCTCTGGATCCAACCTGCTTCTTGCCGACCTGATTCTCCTCAACATCTACATTGGAACTGATCACTCACTGTCTCTTACTGTTTACCTCTTCCCACATCACACATATTTTATATGTTGATCATGTTCTCACTTAGTTTCCTCTTTCCCTGACTGAAGCATCTTTGTTTATTCATTCCCTCCACATAAACTGTTATCGTGTCTATAATGAATTTTGTCGCCCTTCTTTGAACCTTTGCGTGTTTTCTTATCTACAGGATGGCAAGTAAGAATTGCACAGTTCCTCAAAATGCGGAAGCTATGGATTTATACAGTAGGATAATGATACCTCCAGTCCTTTCCTAATAATTCCCAATATATAATTTGCTTTTTTGGCCACTAAAAAACATTAAGCTGATGTTCTTAAGAAAAGGCATCTAATACAGCCCAAAGATCTCCTTCTACTACCACTTACTGATGTCACCAGCTTTTTTCTGGAGCCAAGTTTTCTTAAAAACAAAATGAACGCAAACAAATCCCTGAAATCCCAACCCACTAAGTATTTAGCAATAACTATTGCTTTTTAAAGAGGAAAGGCAGAGTGGTCTCTAACAGTCTGATTTACTTCTTTAACTGTTACAATACATAATAAACCACCGTAAGGAAAGTACACATTCACTGAAGAAACCTTCTTGCTGCATTAGTGTTCAGCTTGTCAGATCTCCTGAAACAGTAGACTCAAAAACCCAGCAAAGGATTCTAAAGTAGAGTCTTGAGGCCTTGAATTCCCCATGAAAACAAGAATAAACACTAGTTTCCTTGAACCTCTAGAAAAATATAAATGCCTTGCAAGAGGGTAAATTGTGTGCTCATGTATCATTGCTTTCTTCTAATTATTTTGAAACTTGACACCATCCAGAAAAAAGCAGAAAAGACCACAGTTTCCTTCTATCACTATAATAAATGATACATCAATTTATTAAATTATATTCTGGCCAGGTCTGATAAAGTATTTCATTTTCTGACAACAGGTGATATAGGCACAGTGATCTGCAACGTAAACATCACAACATCTTCTGAAGTAGGAATTATTTTAGCCAGAGACAACAGCATTCATAATCTTAATCTAATTGCTTACTAGAAATACTTGATGAAACTAATACAAATACAGTAAAAGAAATGTAAATGTAATTATCTACTAAAACTAAATTATTATAATAAAAACCTGAATTTCCTGACAAGTGTAGGTATTTGGTCTGACGCCATTCACTTTTCACAACTACAACTACTCCTTTTCCCACTGAATAGGCAAATAAGCAAGCTATCAGACAGGGGTGATGAGCAACACCTTATCTTATACCCAAACCAAAAAATCACAAACCCGAACCCATACCAATCAAAAAACCCAACAGACAAAACCTCATAAAATAATTGTAAATCTTCTTTTCCGACAAGTTTGGTAACACCTTTCATCCACAAGGTTATTTAATCTAAGAAAATCTGCAGGAATGGGCAGTAAAATGTTTTGGAAACACTATGGAGACATCTCTGTAAACTGGATCTGCCGTAAATAATATATAACTTTTATGTATTATTATTTTCTATATACATGTAATTCATATAAGAGATGCATGGGTGCAAAAAAAATTGCTATCAGTTTTTAGATAAGCTTAAAAAAACCCCCAGACACTAAACTCCCTTTCACCCTCCGGCAATTGTGACAGCACACAATGTACTTTACCTTGGGCACCGAACAAGCATTTTGAGAGAAACATATGTTTTCTGCTAAAGAAAAGACAACGTCCTTAATTCAGAAATGGAAATAAAAGTCAAAAATGTTGTGTGGTTTTAAGAACTGGTCTCTCTGAGGACCTACCCTGCGGTGCACTACCTAGATTTGAAAATAAGACACTCAGAGAACATACCAACAATTTACCACTTTATCAGCTGACCTCCAAATCCACATTAATGGTTAAATGCAAAGCAAATTTATTGAAAATTACATTCTTAAAATATGAATTTGCCTTGATTCAATTAAAATTGTCCATAAGAAAAGCCCTCAATATAGCGAGCATTACTAGGGTTCAACACAGTGATTGACTTTGAAGACAAGTTTTATGGCACAATGAATTCAAAAGCAAAATAATTTCATAAGTTGGTAAACTTAAAATACTTTGCACGCTTCTTTTGCCCCAGGAGCATTAGTTCTTCCCATTCTGCCCACATAAAGAGGCCACAGACAAGGTAGAACGAAGTGCTAGATTTGAAGAGCGTGCTAGTGAAACCAAGGGTTTTAACTTGGAATTGCTGAGCCACAGCACACCATCACACGTCGCAGGAATTTTAAGGAGCCAACAAGTCTCAGGAGCGTTCTCAAGAGGGATATTAAGATAAAGAGATTACTATTTACCTGCCAAGAAACGGCTCCCAAAACAGCGGTCGCGACAAGGCTGAAAAATACGAGCTGTTCCGAGATTAAACAGAAGTGACGCATTCCTTTAGATGCCATAACTCTGTCAAGGCTGTTGTTTTCTGCGCGGTGGGTATAGTACACCTTGTGACAGTCATTTAGTTTGGTGTGAAATCCCCACAGGGTTATAAAAAAAATCACATGGCAGATCATCCAGAAAATTCCAAAAATAGAAAACCCAGGTATCACAAAATACCAGAGATCCAAATCACGTAGTTTAAAGGCTGCAAGAATGAAAAAGATTAGTTCAATGACTCCAACTGAGATGACAGAAAGCCTTCTGCAAATTTTGCCACGGTACAAGTAGGGTTTCCATCGTTCGGTAACTGAAAGTCCACTGAAGTAAACGTCGAGAAGGGGATCTGTAATCAGGCAGCTGAAGAAACATGCCAAGGCGAATGGGTTTGTGGGGATCTGCAGCGATGGAAAAAAGAGTAAAGATGCAATGGCTCCAAAAATTGCCAAATTTGGAATTGCCAAAAAAGACTTCATACGTAAGTCGATAATCAACATGGCCAAAGCCATGACCAACAGAATAATACTCATAGATTTTTCTACCAGCATAGTTGTGCTGGCAATTGCGAATCCAACTAGCTCCAAAAATTCAACTGTTGTCAGCAAGGTCGGGCGATGATGGACGCAACCACAAATCCTCTCAACCAAAGCACATAATATCCTTAGAACAATGGCAGAGAGGAGCAAATATTTAGTAGCTTCTTCTTTCACGTCCGTTTTGAAGGCAGAATTATTAAGAAAACAGAGAAGGCCAAGCAAAAAACCAAACCAAAGATTGGAGAGACTCAAACTTGCCGTTTCCATTGAAAAATAGTAGTACAGTATGCTGGCAATTCCAAGAACAAAGAGCCCCAGAATAAATATTACCAAAATCAGTGCATCCGCAGTTTTTTCCCACCTGACATAAAGGCCCATGCAAATGGCAACCAGTAGGTTGATTCTGGCAAGATAGCCAAGGTATCTGACGGATGAGTGCATGTTCACTTCTCTGTTTGCTTCTTCCAGCCTTGTCATTGCTGCATAGAGACAATGACTAACACAGTAACGCAGTGACCTACACATGTAAACTGCAGTTAGGGGGTCCTACCCACTTGACTGAAAGCAAGTATTTGGTTTCATCCAACAAACACAATGCAGTCGTCACCTTCTGTAGTATCATTTCAGTAACAGTGGTCCAGAATTACCCAAGTCCTGGAAGAAGAATTAAAAGAAGCTTTAGTGGCAAATAATTCCTTTTAATCATACACAGCATAAACATGACACAGCCTTTCTCGCCAAGGCATTTAACATTTAAATTAAAAAACACATTGTAAAGACCAAGTAAGTGTGTTGTTAAAGGTCATTCAAATTGGAGTCATTATTAAAACCAATATAAAATGGGTTCTGCATAAATCTTATTTCATAATTTAAATGAGAGGAAAAGGTAAACCAAACCTGACCTGTGCAGTTTCTCCATAAAACCCATCCATTGGGTATTTATACTAGATATCTATGGGTATTCAAAATATTGCTATTATGTCCATTACCTCCTAAAACAGTTTGTGTCCTGGTTTCAGGTGGGATAGAGTTAACTTTCTTACTAGCAGCTGGTATACTGCTGTGTTTTGGATTTAGGATGAGAATAATGTTGATAACAAACTAATATTTTAGTTGATGCTAAGCAGTTGAGGACTTCGCAGCTTCTTGTACTGGCCTCCTAACAAGAAGGTGTTCTTGGGGGGCACCCAAGAAGCTGGGAGGGGACAGAGCCAGGACAGCTGACCCCAACTGACCAAAGGGATATTCATCACACTCAGTACATAAACTTGGGGGAAGAGGAAGGAAGGGGGTACGTTAGGAGTGATGGCGTTTGTCTTCCCACATAACTATTACGTGTGCTGGAGCCCTGCTTTGCTGGAGATGGCTGAACACCTGCCTGTCCATGGGAAGCAGTGAATGAATTCCTTGTTTCACTTTGCTTACCCATTAAACTGCCTTGATCTCAACCCACAAGTTTTCTCACTTTTACCTGTCTGATCCTCTCCCCATCCCACCGGGGGGACTGAGCGAGCGGCTGTGGGGCCTTGGTTGCCATCTGGGGTTAAACCAGGGCAGCTTCTTCCTGGTCTGAACTCAAGTCTTGAAAGACAAGGACCATAGTACTTCTACTGGCATTTAATTTACAGAGTTTACAAATAAACCATACTACTAATTGCTACCAGGAAAAAAAGTTATTGAGGAAAATCTGTTTTCCCAAAAACCTCCATTTCACTGTATTTATATAATTTTCTACTTGTCACAAAGTTGTCAGAGGCACAGTTCAGAGCTCTCTAGTTAAAGGCAAAAAAGGTTTCTACTTTGAAGCCATAACCCTGCTCTGGATGCAAAACGTGTTGTAAGTGACAAATTGACATGAATTACTCAAAGAACAAGCTTTCTGTGAAACCACATGTAAAGAGAACCACATGTACTTCTGATTTTTGATCCTTTTTGCCTAGAAAGTCTAAACCAGGAGTCACTGAAGGAACAAAACAGAGCCTATACTTCCAGAGAAAATAAGGCAGAAAACAACAGCTGGATCACAAGAAAGTACAGAAACAAGAAAATCAGCATCGATATCTTTTCCTCTCTAATTTTCTTAGTAAGTGTCACAAATTACAAAGAGCCCCAGAAGTTGTTCAAATTCCCTTACTTAAAACTTAACAGAAATCCTGTGCACTATTTACATTTGCTTGTAAAGTTATTAATGAAAAGTTTATCTAAGAGTATGATTACAGAGGTTAAGGGCAGAGTCCCCAGCGTGTAAGAAGACTCCTAAGTAACCTCTAGCATTTTTTAAGCAATTACCTAATTGCTCATCTTACAGAAACTTCTGAAGAGTTACTGCTATGACAGGGCAACCAATGTGTCAAGAACACTCAGAGCTCGGTTATAGCTTACAGCTTTAATTGATAATGCCGGGGCAAGTATGAAAGGACACCTTGACTGAAACTCAAAATTTAGACTTTATTCTCTCTTGACTTTCAAATCTTCATTTTTTAGACCACTGAACAACAAAAGAAAAAGTGAACTGATTGGCCCGTAAGCTTTGCTGATTTGAAGACTGACACCCGGTGTAAAACCTGCTTAACTACTTGATGCAGAGACCACCTAGGCCAAAGAAATCCTATTGCTTCAATTACTTAAGTTTGGTGACATATATTTTAAAATTATGTGAAATAACTAACAACGTGGCAGATATTACTTGGAAGAACTATGAATTAAAAATCTGTTTAATTGAAACAGAACACATACCACATACTTAAAGCAAATGGTCATTACATGATGCCGTTGCAAGTTAACGGAGAAGAGGAGGCTGAGGGGGGACCTCATTGCCCTCTACACTACCTGAAAGGAGGCTGTAGAGAGGTGGGTGTTGGCCTCTTCTCCCAAGGGAATAATGACAGGACCAGAGGAAATGGTCTAAAGTTGCGGCAGGGGAGGTTTACATTAGATATTAGGAAGAATTACTTTCCTGAGAGAATGGTCAGGCACTGGAACAGCCTGCCCAGGGAGGTGGTGGAGTCACCATCCCTGGAAATATTTAAGAAACGTGTAGACGTGGCTCTTCAGGGCACACTCTAGTGCCCAAGATTATTGTTTTTTGTCTGTCTGTGGGTGGGTGTGGTGTTGGTTTGGGTTGTTGTTGTTCATTTTTTTGGTTGCTTTTTTTGGTGGTTGGACTTGATTATCTCAAAGGTCGCTTCCAACCGTGAATATTCTGTGATTCTGTAAAGTTGTCTGGATTTCAACTGTGCATTTTCATAGTACTCATTGTTATAAATATAAACTTAATTCTGAGTTGCCTGGATGCTTAAGATCCTGTAATATTTCTCCCCTCACTTGGTAATATACTTACTTGATAATATACTTCGACCTTTCGTTTGTTTCTGCTTTATATAGATAGATACAGCCCAAAGTTAGCTATCATATTCCAGGTCATGATATACCAGGTATCATAGCACAGACTCACTGCTTCACGTACTACAATTAACATTGGCTTTATGGACAACCTGAGCCACTTATTGCAACTCCTATACACGCACACACATACCAGTTATCACTTGCTCAAACCGTGAGCAGAATCAGAATCATTTAGGTTGGAAAAGACCTCTAAGACCAGCAGTTAGAGAGGGAGGACTTCACATCTCCTTCCGGCCCGTGACCAGCTGCTACACCGAAGCCCATCTGCCATCCTGTCCTGTTATCTTGATTCCCGAGCCCTTCTGGATCCCCTCCAAGTGGAAGGGCTCATACCCTACCCACTCCCTTGGACAACAGCCTGCTGGGAGCCGGCAGGCAGGCTCACATGCAACGGGCGGAAGCTCCTGCCTAACGCCCGGCTGAAAATTTTGCTGCGGTGGCTAAACCATTGTCTGGTGGGATCATCACAGCAGCAAACTGCCTCGGCAGAGCAGAAATCCACCCTGGAGCGGTTCAGCTCCTGACGAGCGGAGTTTTGCTGCCACCACATCCTGAGAAACACGAAGGAGAAGCTCCTCTGCTGGCGCCCCAGCTGCAGAGCCGGGTGTGGAACAGTCCTGCTGCTGGGGGACAGACACACAGCCTGCTCCAGCACCAAACTTCTGCAAAGTGATACAGCCCGCACCCTGAACACAGCCTCCTCTTCCTGATCTCCCGGCCAATTAGCAACAAGGTGCACAACTAAACCACACTATTAATCAGCAGTATTTTTCTAACCCAAACACACGGTCAGCTTTTTGGGGAAAAGAGGAAAAGGCGCATTTTCATGATTAATGTGTCCCATCACGCAGCTATTGCCAAATAAACGTAACACAGCAATTCCGACAATTTTAATGAGAAATTGCTGACTTATTATCTGATTTATTCTTTAAAACACAGCTATTTGTTAACCATTTCTGTAGACTGTTCAAAGCCTATTCCAAGTCAGCGAGGAGGGTGGGGTATTTGTTTGTTTTTGAAACTAATGGCCTTAATGTTTCGGGGTTGCAACCTCCGAGTTGCATTTCTGAGCAAACCCCCTTCGGATCCAAGCCGAGGAGAAGGCGCACACCCACTTCTGAACTGACACCAGCTCCTGCAAACACAACTTGGTAAGCAAAGCCTGGAGTCCAAGTAGAGACTGAACCACCCAAGAGCTTTCCTGTCCGTAAAGGAACAGCACTCCCTCCCAAAGGAGTTTTTAACCGAGTTTGTCTAAGAAAGTAGAAAAAAGAACCAAAACCCAAAGGTGGTTCAGTAGTTCAACTACTGCTGATTTAATGCCCAGGCGAGGCCTATTGAAAGTACTACACCCTCTTTTCCTTCACTTTTATTCTTCTTTTATTTTTTTTAAAAACAGCAACTCTGTGGGACTTCGGTTTTATCGAAAAAGCTGTCTCTAGCTAATGCACCAGCACAGCAGGCTCAGCCCCGGGGCGCGGGGCTGTGTGAGCCGGCAGCCCCGCACCCCGGCCCGGATTGCGGTGGCCGCTGTCAGACACCCGCAGCCCCGGCCGCCGGGATGGCCCTCCCGGCAGAGTTCAATGCCGGCGCTCGGCGCGGGGGCTGCC